GTGCCCCTGTTATCCAGGCCCAGCTGTCAATGTGCCCTTTTTTATCCAGACCCAGCTGTCAATGTGCCCTTGTTATCCAGACCCAGCTGTCAATGTTCTCTTGTTTTCCAGACCCAGCTGTCCCTGGGCAGGAAGTGTGCTAAGACTACACAATACGCCCCTCCTCCTCCCTCTTGTCATCTCCATAACATAAGTGGTTGTTGTAGTCCAGCAGGGGAGAACTTGACAGGGATGTGCTTGGAATTTCAGTGCAGCACGGGTAGTGTTGTCACCTCAGTACAGGAAGTTGGGAGCTCCCTGGATTCCCGGCAGATGAACATTGTCTGTATTTGCAGCACTGGTAGTCCTCAGGGGTCGGGTTCCCGAGGCTGTACACAGAAACCCCGCACACAATGTAAGTCAATGGGAAGGGGCGGAGTTATGTTCCCGGCCTCTCTCTGAAGTGACATAAGTGATACAATGCGGGTGCATTGTACGTAAAGCTGCTGCAGGAGCTCGGACAATGCACCCGCATCATGTGACCGATGCCAGTGAGAGAACCCCAACCCCCGCACTTCCCATTCACATACATGATATATTTGGCTTCAATTTACAAAACTCCCAGAAAAGGGGCAACTCGAGCCGTTGTCAGCCGAGGGGCGCCTGTTACAAATACCCTATATTACCAAAAGTATTGGGCCCCTCCCCCTCCGAATCATCGGATTCGGGTGTCCCGTGACATTTCCCGGCTACTAAATATTCCGCCGCGGTCGCCTGTTACTGGGATTATAACAAAGCGGCAGCAACCGGGAACAACAGCAACTCAGCCAGGAAGTGGTCGGCCGCGTCACATGACAGAGCGGGGTCAGTGCATGCTGAAGTGCGCAGAAGTCGCCAACTGTCTGCAGAGCCAATAGCTACAGACCTCCAAACTCCATGCGGCCGTCAGATTGGCACAACAACAGTGCGTAGAGAGCTTCATGGAATGGGGGCCGAGCAGCTGCATCCAAGCCGCACATCACCAAGTGCAATGCAAAGCGTGGGATGCCGCGGTGTAACGCACGCCGCCACCGGACTCTAGAGAAGAGGAGACGTGTTCTCTGGAGGGACCAATCACGCTTCTCTGTCTGGTGATGGGCGTGTCTGGGTTTGGCGGTTGTCGGGGGAACGGTACTTGCCTGACTGCATTCTGCCAAGTGTAAAGTTTGGGGGAGGGGGGATTATGG